ACAATAGGGAATAAAACTAAGAAATACAACCAACCAGAAAAACAAAATAGAGAAAACTAATGATTCCATGGAGACTAAACAACATGCTACTTAAAAAAAAAAAATGGATCAATGACAATATCAAAGATGGAATTAAAAAACACCTTGAGACAAACGGCAATGAAAACACAGCCACGTAAAATCTATGGGATGCAGCAAAAGCAGTAACAGGAGGGAAATTCATATCACTACAGATCTTCCTCAAAAAACAAGAACAATCTCAAATAAACAGCCCAGTCTATCACTTAAAAACTTAAAAAAGAAACCAACAAAACCTGAAGTCAACAGAAGGGAAGAAATAATAAACATCAAGGAGAAAATAAATAAAACAAATTAAAAAATGAAAAAAATCAATCAACCAAGAGTTGTGTTTTTGAAAGAGTAAACAAAATTGGCAAACCTCTGGCCAGGCTCACCAAGAAGAAAAGAGAGAGGGCACAAATAAACTCAGAAATGAAAGAGGAGAAATTACAACTGATACTACAAAAATACAAAAAACCATAAAAGAATACTATAACACAACTAACAAATTGGACAACCTAGAAGAAACGGAGAAGTTTTAGAAAAAAACAGTCCACCAAAACTGAATCAAGAAGAAATAGATAATTTGAACAGACCAATCACTAGAAGTGAAATCGAATCTGTAATAAACTCCCTGCAAACAAAAGTCCAGGACTGGATGCATTTACTGGGGAATTCTACCAAACATACAAAGAGCTTATACCAATCCTCAGACTCTTCCAAAAAAATTAAAGAGGAGGAAACACCCTCAGACTCATTCTGTGAAGCCACCATCACCCTGATACCAAAACCAGGCTAAGACACTCCCCAAAAAGAAAGTTACAGGCCAGTATCTTTGACGAATATAAATGCAAAAATTCTCAACAAAATGTTAGTAAGCCAAATCCAACACACAAAAAAAGGTCATACACTACAATCAGCTCAGATTCATCCCAGGGACACAAGGATGGTTAAACATACACAAATCAATCAATGTGAGACACGACATCAACAAAAGAAAGGCCAAAAACCAAATGATCGTCTCAACAGATGCAGAAAAAGCATCAGATAAAATTCAACGTCCATTTACATAAAAACTCTCACCAAAGTGAGTGTAGAGAGAACATGTTTCAACATAATAAAAACTATTTATGACACATCCACAGCCAGCATAATACTTGATGGTGAAAAGTGGAAAGCCTTCCACTAAAATCTGTAATGCCCACCCTCACCAATTCTATTCAGCATAGTATTGTAAGTCTTAGTCATAGAAATCAAACAAGAAAAAGAAATAAAAAGGATCCAGATTGGAAGGAAAGAGGTAAAACTGTCATTATATACAGATGACATAATACTATATCTAAAGACTGCATAAAAACTGCTAGAGCTGATAAATGAAATGGCAAGGTAGCAGATACAAGATTAACATACAGAAATCTGTTGCATTTCTTTTCACTAACAAATGGTTCATCACGTTGATTAATTTGCATATGTTGAGCCCTCCTTGTGTCACATATTTCATGTGACATTTATTTATTT